TAATATATTATTATTGGTGTCAGAGAGGAAGGGAGAGGAGGAGAGAGAGAGAAACATCAATGATGAGAGAGAACCACTGATCGGCTGCCTCCTGCGCGCCCCCCATCGGGGATGGAGCCTGCAACCCGGGCATGTGCCCTGACCGGGAATCGAACCGTGACCTCCTGGTTCATAGGTTGACACTCAACCACTGAGCCCCGCCGGCTGGGCCACGTATTTATGAAAAACACACACTGACACCCTAGTCGGTTTGCTCAGTGGGTAGAGCGTCGGCCTGTGGACTGAAGGGTCCTGGGTTTGATTCCAGTCAAGGCACCTGGAGCACATGCTTGGTCGAGGCCTGAACAGGAGACAGTCACTCCGGCAGGCGGGTGCCCCGAGATGCCGCTGGGAGGCAGGGGCGTGGGGCTCCTGCAGCTCCGGACCCAGCTCCTGGAAGGCAAATGCTGGAGGAGACTGACCCGGGACACCATCGCCACCTGGTGGCGCGCCCCGGCAATGGCAGCGGTCCCCGCAGCCGGCACAGCCCCGCCCCGCCCGGCCCCGCCCGGCCGAGAACAAAGGAGGCCTGTGGCCAGGGGCCAGGCTGGGCGACTGACTTGGTCCGAGGAAGAGCTGACCCGCTCTGTGCATCCCTGGAAGGCGCTGCCTCTGGGAGGGTGCCAGCTGGGAGCCCGGGCTGGGCTGTGCACGACTTCAGGCGTCCGCACTTAGAAACCAGAATGGCCCAGGCCTTAACATGTTGGATCATCGAGGTCACCCCCACGCCCACCCTGCGGCCGGTCAGCCACAGGGGCTGAGAACTGCCGGGCCACCCGGCTCGCCCTGCCGCGCTCGGCCTCCCTCTCCGTCCCTCCTCCGCCCGCCCGTCCTCAGGAAGCTTTTGTTCACCAGTCGTCAGGGACCTCCGGCCACAGGCAGCGGCCTCCACCTCCTGTCGCCTCCCTGTGCTCCACTCCCCCTCCCGCCCTGTCCAGCCTGCCCTGCCCGCCTGCCCGGCCGCTGGCATCTGCCCTCCGGCCTCCACCCAGGACCTCTCACCCACAGCTGTCTTGGAGCTGGTTGCTGCCGCCAGCCTGGCTGTTCCTCCGAGCACCCCTGCTGTCCCCCCTGACCCCAGGCATCCGCAGCCGGCCCGCCCCCCGCCGCCCCTGCAGGAGCTCAGCACTGCAGCAGCCTCCTCTCCGATGGTTTTCTGTTGAGATAATTTCATACTTAAAGTTGCAAGAATAGTACAAAGAACTCCCTTGTGCCCTTGACCAAGAGTCATTAATTCTTTTAAATGAATGAGATTCAGCAGCTTGTACACTAAGGAACACTGTCTTTTCTTTTTTTAAAAAAATATATATATTTTTTTATTTCAGAAAGGAAGGGAGAGGGAGAGAAACACCGATAAGAATCACTGATTGGCTGCCTCCTGCATGCCCCCTACTGGGGATTGAGCCCAGAACCCGGGCATGTGCCCCGACCGGGAATCAAACCCGGGACCCGTCATCAGTACACAGGCCGACGCTCAATCCATTGAGCCAAACCGGCCAGGGCAAGAGTCGTTAATTCTTTAGCATTCACTCCATTTGCTTCCTCCCGTCTCTCTTACAGCCGATGAGTGTTCTCTCATCATGAATGTGCATGTGCACACACGTTACATAATCCTTAACCTTAGCTTCAGTGCGTTTCCTGGGAATAAGGGTGTTTTTATTCGCTTTATGGAATTATCAAATTCAGAAAATCTAACATTGAGACAAAATGTCCTTCATAGCGTTGTTGTCAGTCTTGGTCTAGGACCCCATTTCATTTAGTTGTCATGTGTCTTTTTAAATCTTTATTGTGAATGTATCACATGTCCCCTTCTTCCCCCATGGCCTTTCCCACTCCCCGTTGGCTGTCACGTGCCTTACGTCTCCTGTAACCTAAATCAGTCTCCCAGCCTCTCTCTGTCTAGTATAATGTCGACATAAGGAAAGGCCAAGCCGCCCGGCCGGTGTGTCTCAGTGGTTGAGCATTGACCTATGAACCAGGTCACCGTTGGATTCCCAGTCGGGGCACAGGCCCAGGTTGCAGGCTCGATTCCCAGTGCGGGGCGTGCAGGAGGCAGCCGATCAATGATTCTCTCTCATCATTGTTCCTCTCTCTCTCCCTCTCCCTCTCTAAAAGTGAAAAAACAAAATAAAAAACCAGAAACGTCCAAGCTTGTAGAGAATTCCAAACTGATGACACACGGAAGAGCAAGAACCTGGACGCTCCGATGAATAAGTTTCGCAGCGTCCTTGATGCATCTGCGATCAGGAGGGAACGCAGGAAGGCTGTATGCAGGTGGGAGACAGCAAGGCAGGGACTGGATTACGGAGCTATTTCCAGCCGGTGTGCGGCAGGGATCTTTACAACACACAACATCTAAAAACATGAAAATAAAACATGCAACACCTGACTATTTAGTCAGGGGCACTGATCTCTTTTCCCTTAGATTGTCAGATTTAAGAAATAACAACAGCCACCCTGGCTGCTTTGGCTCAGTGGATAGAGGGTTGGCCCGCAGACTAAAGGGTCCCGGGTTCGATTCCGATCAAGGGCTCAATCCCCAGTAGGGTGCGTGCAGGAGGCAGCCAATCAATGCTCCTCTCATCATTGATGTTTCTATCACTCCCTCTCCCTTCCTCACTGAAATCAATAAAAAAATATATATCAAAAAATAAATATACTTTTGGTGGGCCGCAGAATTTTAGTGATTCGTTTATGTGTGCCATGAGGTGGAAAAGGTTGAAAATCCTGGATTATAGAAATGTTAAGATTATGTGATATGCCTGCCAGAGGTTTTCGTGCCGGCATTTCAAAGGCGTGTTAACCTAGATGTGCAAGAACAATGGACAGGGCTTGAGTAAAGCCTTCACTGAAGAAATGACAGGCCGGGGCGTGGCTGTCCACCATGACCTGCCCACGTAGGAATTTATGACCACAGCACTGCTTTTTCATCCACAATGTTTGAAATTCTCTATGATTAAAAAAAGTAGTGAGCTTATAGAAATCATACACTTACACGACAGATTTAAGCAGCATATTTAAATTAACATGTGCTTTTAAATATGTACAGATACTAATCATAAGTAGATATTTGGCTATTTCCACCATAAGACAGTTTTCGTGGTTAAATTAATTAAAACTTTGTTAATCCTGCCCCGAGGATATTTTTCCATTGATTTTTAGAGAGAACGGAAGGGAGAGGGAGAGACAAACATCGATGTGAGAGAAACACATGGAGTGGTTGCCTCCTGCATGTCCCCTACTGGGGATGGAGCCCACAATCTGGGCATGTGCCCTGACCAGGAATCGAACCTGGCAGACCTCTTGGTCCATGGGAGGATGCCCAATCCACTGAGCAACACCAGCTGGGCCACTGGTTGATTCTTTTTTTTTTTTTTTTAATATATTTTATTGATTTTCTACAGAGAGGAAGGGAGAGGAATAGAGAGCCAGAAACATCGATGAGAGAGAAACATCGACCAGCTGCCTCCTGCACACCCCCCACTGGGGATGTGCCCGCAACCAAGGTACATGCCCTTGACCGGAATCAAACCCGGGACCCCTCAGCCCGCAGGCCGACGCTCTATCCACTGAGCCAAACCGGTGCTGGCATGATTCTTGTATGTGGGTTTGACCAGGGATCAAACCCACAACCTTGGCTTACCAGGACCATGGCCTGGATGGCCAGATGGTCGTGGGCAGTTCAGTCATCTCTATACCAGTCTCTGCACTTTCAAACTTAGTGACAGGAATGGGGTGGAGAGCAGGGTGGGGGTGCTCAGCCACGCGGTGTCCCTTTGGGTTAGAAAGCCGTCTGGGAGGGAAAATGGGGAGCCAGGGGAGGGGCAGCTAGTCCCCTTGGTACTCTGCGGCCTTGTTCTCTCCTCCATCTTCCTAACATAGAAACTCGTTAACAGTGACACTCACTGGAGATTGGTTGGTATTACAGGGAACTTCCTTCCCTTACATCCTCACAATTAAAGGCTAATATGCAAATGGTCATCACGCTGTAAAGCCGATCAGCAGGGAGCTGAGGCTGCATGGCCCCAGGACGGGGAACGGGGCGGGGGACCTCAGGCTGCAGCCTCCCCCAGCCCCCGCCCAATGGGGCTTGATGGGGGTGGGGCCGGCGAGGGCTGGGTCTCCTGCAATTTCGAAGCACGTGTGGGTGGGCGGGGACTTGACTCCCCGGTGTGCCCCAGACTCTGACAGGAGGGATTTTCATACACATTTTACTAATTTTCTTTAATCTCTGACACTTCTATTAAAGAGAAAGGGCAAATAGCAACATTAAAATATTTCCTTTAATTCCCTTTTAATGTGCATGAATTCCATGCACCAGGCCCCAGTGTTGTTTAGGGCTGGAATAATGTTCTATTATAGGTACAAAGCAGAAGGGCGCAGTCTCAGGGAAGCCTGACTTGAGGTGGGCCCATGGGTGAAATACTTTAGATTTTAGCACTTGCCACATTTATGTAAGATTTAAAAATAGTTCATTTCTATCCCAGGCAGGCGTCACTATTTTGTAACTTTTGCTCCAGCGTTGATCCATCTTGGCAATCACCCCAGCTCACATGGGGGCCCATGACTTACCATCTGTCCTGGTTCATTCTGTACATCCTCCCTGGTCCTTGCAGAAGTCAAACTCCAGGGGGAGACGGGAGACCTGTAACACTGTCAACAATAAAAAGGTGAGAAGTCTTCTCTGGGGCCCTCGTTGGCCTGCTGCTTCCTCCACACGAAAGGGTTTCGTACGGGAGCGTCGCGGTTCAGCTCCTGCTGTCCGCTTCGTCAGGCCGTGCCATGTCAATGTTTCTTTTTGGACTTAGGGCATAACTGGAGGTCACTGTGGCCACCCCCAAAGGCCACAGGAGAGCCCTGTGGCTGCCCAGCCACTGGTTATAGTCACGGGTCATCCCAGAACCTTAAAGGGAAACAATCCCCTTTGAATCAATTAGGCAGAAAAAAACATGAAGCAGAGCATGGGTACAAGATTGGTTTTATTCTAGAGCCTGTGATGGCTGGTTAGCAGGGCTGGCCACACCGTACAACCTGAAGGCCACCCACCTCCTTCCAGGCCCTCAACCAACAGAATCCCCACGAACAAGATCAGAGACCAATGGATGTCTCCCCTCCTGCTCCCCATACTTTTCTAACAAGATTGTTTTATAGTCAAATGCAACTCAAACCCATGAACACACCAGTCATCGCCAGCATCACTGGTTCCCTCCCCACCCCAATAGGCAGCCAGGCAAGGGGGGCTGACTCGTGTAGGAACTTGGCTGCGCCCCGAGGGAGCAGAGGTGCTGAGGGGCTGGCGTCTGAGGGTGGGGCCAGCAGGAGCAGAACGGGCCTGTCCAGAATCCATCGAGTCGGCCCAGCCCCGGACGGGCGAGCTCCTCGGAGGACCCTATTCCGTGGGGCTGGGTGAGGAGGCAGCTGGTGGTGTGGCCCATCACTCCCTGCCCCTCAGTGAAAACATGATAAACTCGGAGGTTTTACCTTCCAACCCACCATGCTGCCCGAGAAACATTCCAGTCACCGCACGCCAGCACCCACGCCCTACACAATGCCGGGCTCCCAGCCCGCTGCCCCCCTCGGGTGGGCCAGCTAACACTGATTTGATTCTCTTGACTCATAAAAGGACTTTTAGAAAGTTCAAAGCTACCCGAGTGCCCGAAGGAAGACACTCAGTATGCACTCCCCCGTCCCAGAGCCCACCACCCCTGCCCCCCACTTTGGGATACTTTCGCTCCATGTTCCACACGAGCCAGGGGGTGCCCGGTGGAGGCTGCCTGAAGTGCTTTCCTGATCGACTCCCAGACCAGGCAACGTCACGGGAACTGGGGCCAGGGCAGGGCCACCCCCAAGCAGATCTGTGGCCTTCGAGGTAGGTCCGGCAGGTTAGCTTATGCCCTGTCGCCAAGGCTGAGTTCAGTGCCCACTCCCACCGTATCTCAGTCTTTGGCTTTTAATAGCAGCAGCCCAGGACCGCAGTGCCTCCTGGGTGACAGAGCTGGTTCTGTCCCGCACTCATGGCTGCCTCTTCTTCCTCCTTTTTTTTCTTAATTAAAAGCAGAGGTAGTCTTGGGATGATAAAATGGCAGTATTGTGACTTAAAGAAGCAGTTAAATAAGTCTCCAGGAGTTAAAAGTAATAATAAAGTGATTGACGAGGTTGAATAAATTAAGACATGGGTAACCCCTTCCCAGGCCGTCTTTGGAGTTTGGCCAGCAGCGCTTCCGTGGTCTTACTTCTCTCCACTCCCCCTCCTGCCCTCCCCTCACGAGGGGCCAAGAGCCCAGTAAGGCCAGCGGCTCCTCCAGCTGTGGGGACCAAGAGGCAGAACTGGACTTGACGTGGTGCTCGGAACCGGGCCCAACAGCCTCGGGAGACGGTCCTGATGCGGGACGGGTGCTCGGATCCATCCTCGGGAGTGTGACGGGAAGGTGTTCGGAGGAAGCCCAGGCCCCTCTCCAAACGCAGCCAAGAGGGGAGGGGGTGGAGCAGGCGCCGGCCGCTGCTGTCCGCCGGCCGCTGCCTCAGAGCTTCTTCAGGCGGCTGTACATCTCCCTCTTGCTCTTTTCCCCGGCCCAGGTCCGGCTCTTGGTGCGAAACTTCTTCAAGTCTTCCTTAAAGTCCTCGTGGTGCATGGGCCGGTAGCTGGGGGGCTCACAGTGCGACTAGGGGACAAGGCGGGTGAGGTCAGGGCACATCTGTCTCTCTCCTCACCCTGCTCCCTCCCTCCCAGGTGCTGGGAGACTGAGCAGCAGTGCAGACCTGGCCAGTGGGTTCTAAGGCCCCGCTTGCACCGGGCAAATTTCCAGACACCCGGCCAAACAGCCGTGACCACCAGGCAGACCCCACCGTCCCGCCTGGCAAGGGGCGGCCATGCTCCCCAGAGAGCCCCTCACCTGGCATTTCAGGAAGAACTCCTTGTACCCGCCCTTCAGGATGTACAGCTCAGGGTAGTGGAGTCTGGGGTACTCGTTGCTGAGCCGATCTCTCTCTCGCACGTAGCGGCACCTGCAAAGGAGAAGGCACAGGTCAGCGCTTCCAGCAGAGAATCAGGAGCCCAGTCCCCAGCACAGCTGGCGGGGCCGCAGCACTCACAGTGCTGAGGGCGACCCCGGCCACCGCGTGGGCGCTGAGTGCACAGCCAGTGCCAGCTTCGCACTGAAAGGCAGACACGTCTTCCCAAACTTCCTTCCCCGAGTGAAACAGCCCCAGCACTCCCAGCCTCTGCCTCGGCCACTGGCCTCCACCTCACCCCCCTTCCCCTCCCATCAGCCACTGCGGCCCCCTCACTGCTGCCCCAGAAGCACTTCCTAAGCATGGCACATGCACACATTGGATGCTGACGGGCCCCTGACTGTTCTGAAACTCGGGCTCCTTAAGGCAGGGCTGTCCTGTCTACTGCTGCCTCCCACCTGAACAGCACCCAGGAGAGGGCACAGGACCTGCAGTGCAGTCGCACTCGGAGATGCGCCTGGCCAGGTCTGCTCAGACGCCAGCTCTGTGGGTGACCCTAGTTGAGCTGCACTCCCCCCGCCACCTCTCCGACCACCTGTCAGCACTTGTCGTCTAATGTCTTCCTACCAGGACCCCCTGCAGCAGGCCCTGTCAGACTTGCTCACTGCCATGCTCACTCCCAGCTTTCCAATATCACCACCTCTGGCATTTCCAGCACCAGCCCTGCTACGTTAGCGAGTGCAGAGGCTGCTGTTAGAGCATCGGGATATTACTTCAAACCTTAAGTGAATGTTGCTCTATTGTAATCTCACTTTCACCTATTTTGGCATAAAAGATGTTTTGGTAACAACAGGGCCTTAGACACCAAAGCCCCAACGAAGTTTGTGCTAACGAGGGGGATGTTTGGGGCACTTCGCCCCCTACCCCTCCGCAATGTGCAATAACGTGAGCGCACACAACCCTCCTTTGCAAGCACGGACTGGACCAGGGTTTCAAGCACCACATCAAGTCTCGAGTGAGGACGTCCCACTTTCCTGGCATTTGAACCCAGAGCCACCACAGTGCACTTGAAGGATGTCACCTGGGACAGTCGTCCCACAGGCAGAACCAAGGACAGCGGGGACACAGGAAGGCAGGAGCTGAACTCCACACAAGGAAGCTGGACAGGGAGCCACACCGGACAGTGGCAAGGACTCACTCAGGAGGGGGCGCCGGCAGAGGTCAGGGCCCCGGGGAAATGGCAGCAGAGGCAGCTGGACGGCAGAAGCCCGCCAGCCCCTGCATTGGACTCGTCAGGCCAAGCCCACTCACTCCACGCGAGGAAGCTGCTCATGACATCAAGTGGTTGCTAAGCAGAGAATTTCAGAGACCACCACAGGGGATCTGTGCTCTCACAAAACCACATTCCCACGGCCGGGTGCCGGCCAAGGCCTGGGGATGACCCGGGTGGGCCACCGGGGCTGCGGGCGAGCACATGCCACCACTTACATGCGCGGGCCCCGCTCGGAGGAGAACTCGCAGTGGAACACCACGATGACGCGCTTGCCGTCGGCGGGGGAGATGGGCTTCTTGAGCAGGAAGTCCTCCACCTCGTCCTCCATGTGCAGGTTCACCGCGCCCTGCAAGACACCAGACTCAGCCCCGCCTCCCCGGAGCGACGATCCGCACGCAGGCTCTGCCACGGGCCCCTCAATATGCTGCGACTGCGCACTTTCTGAGTGTTTGTGAGCTGGGGACTCTCAAAAGCTACAGTGACAAGCCTAACAGCGTCTGTAAAGTACCCGTACTACATGTCAACACTATTTTATTGGTTAAAAGATTGAAATGCACAAGCAGTTACTTTCTTTCCGGGCAAGTATGTCCCAACACCCCTTCCCACCAGGTGGCCTAACTGAGCCCTGTGCCAGGCCCGGGGTCTGCAGGCCTGGCTGAGAGCAGGCACCGTCCAGACATGCGGTGCGGGTGACGGGAGCATCTGCTGCACGAGGTGGTGAGCTGTGCAGACCAGGAACACCTCGCGGGCACCCAGGAGGCAGGTGCCTTTCCGCAGCAGCCTCTCTAACCAGCCTGTGAGCTCACAAGCAGCCAGGGGTCCCCACCCCCTTTCAAACAGTCACAGATGCGGCTGAGGCCCCTTTATGCCTCCGACAGCAGGGCTCACCCCCAGCCTCGGGAACCCTTACCTTGATGTGGCCGCCCTCATATTCGTATGGGTACCGGCAGTCAATGATGACGAACTCTTTAATGAGGTTGGCAAACTTGCCATTCAAGACAGATGCCATCTGTGGAGAGAAAGGCAGGAGGATCAGTGTCGGCTGCTGGAAAGAACTAGATTTATGTGCACGTGAGGCAGGTTCCAAAAGCAGGACTTACAATTTCTGGAGAGATGTACTTTAGGTCCTGGTGCTTCCCAGCGACTGTGTGGAAGAGATAACCCTTAAAGAGAAGAAATCTTTTGATACAGATTTGTAGTGAGGCTATAGATTTCTGCTTATTTATGCTTTTCTGCATTTCCATCTTTATAATAAGGAACACAGTTCCCCGAGAGCCTGCCTTGGGGTTGGAGAATGGCTTCCTACTTAAACTCTCTGATCAGCACCCTTGAGGTCTACAGTCCCACAGAGACCTTTAAAATTTCAAACTGTGTCCCCTTGGGGACACCCCAGGAGCCACCTCAGAGAGGGAGGAAGGCAGGGTGTGTGTGTGTAACCCATCCACCCGCATCACGTAGCTAGAGGGCGCCCTCACCTTGGAGAAGTCCCCTATGAGGTCCCTGGGGTCGTTATCCAGAATGTTCTCGATGGTCCCCTTTGGGGGAGATACCAAGGCTGGAGACGGATACAGAATCTGTAACAATCAAAGGTGGGAAGTGAGGCCGGGGTTTTAAACAGGACTTTTGAGACCACTCACCTGGAACATGTCACAAGGAGACTAAAATGTTAATGTTTACACTTAGCAAATGAAGACTTTTCATATTTGATTGACTCTTGAGTGAAAAGAAGGCCCACTAACTAGGTCTATTTTTTCAGCGTCTAACTGAATTTCCCTGAAACGGTTTTCCTTCCCCTCCCCCCAAGCAGGAATAAAAGTGAGGCTGGGTCTAAATAAGAGGCCTCTCAACCAACTGCAACGTACAGACCTTTAGACCCAGATTTGAAAAAACAAGGCAATTTGTTGACATGTATACAACAGTTTCACAAACCTTCTTGCCCTTTAACCTAGAATTCCGCTTTTAAGTAGAAAAAAACAGTTTCATAAAGTATTAGGCACCTAGCGTAGATTATAAAGTACAAGGCACCAGGCCTAGATGTTTCCATGGCTGCGATCTCGCTAACCTTTTAAGATGATGGATATTTATTCAAACCTTCATGCTACAGAAAATATGTGCACTTTTCCAGTTTATTTTCTAATGCTTAATACCAAAATCGGATATAAGGACAGTGCAATGCAGGGAAAATGTATAAACAAAGCAATTGGAAGTAAGCCAAACATGACATTTCAGGAAGAAAAATAGCTTCAAAACCAGGAAATCTATGAAACCAACATATATAAACAAGCTGATAAAAACGGAGTGCTCCCAGCTGGCTACAATCATGTTCCCAAGGCTTAGCTCATGGAGGAAACGGAGGCCTCAATGCCCAGAGAGCCATGACTCTGAAGACAGGTCACTTGTCCAAAGATACGACAGGTGGTCAAAAGGACCAAAAGGACGAGCCCGGGCAGTCTGACTCAGGGGACAGGATGTCGGCCCGCAGACTGAAGGGTCCTGGGTTTGATTCCGGTCAAGGGCACATACCTCAGTGGCAGGCTCGATCCCTGGCCCCGGTCAGGGCACCTGCAGGAGGCAACCAATCCATGTGTCTCTCTCACATGGATATTTCTCACTGTCTCTCCCTCTCCCTTCCAATCTCTTTAAAAATCAGTGGGAAAATATCCTCGGGTGAGGATGACAGCTTAGAGCTGTACCTTTGCCTAGCTGTAACGAAGTGGCCTAATCTCTACTCCACTGGGATGGTGTCAGTGGAGGCCAGAGGGAGCCTAAATCCCACTCCTCCCAGCAAAACGAGGCTTCCTCCACCCCACATACCAGGCCCAGAGGTCGCGTTGGGGAACCTGAACTTCAACCCCCACCTTCCCCGCACTGTCAGAGGAGACCAGCTAAAACCCAAAATATACAGATGCAATTGAAAAACCACTTGTCAGACCAAGAACCAGAAAAATCTCAACTTGAAAAATCAACAGAAGCCAACACCATGGCAGATGCTGGGATCGCCTGAGAAAGACTGGAAAGCCGCCATCATCAAACGCGTCAAGAGGCAATTCCACACACACTTCAGCGAACCGGAAGCAGAAGGCGAGCCTCAGCAGAGAGCCCGTGGAGACGCTAGAACCGAAAACACAGCGCCTCTCCCCGCACACCCACCTCCCGGGGCTCCTCGGGCCTGGCTGCCGCCCCGGGGCTGGCCCTGAGCGCGCTCTTCCTCCGCTTCGGGTTTCCAGGGGGGGACAGCTCTCGAGATCGGTCTGGTCTCTTCAGCACCGAGCGCAGGGCGGGGCTGCCCGTGGGAGTGGAGTCAAACAGCTGGCATCGGTTGCCCTTTGGGAAAACATATAAAAACCCATTACCACAGGCCATGCTCCCAGCACCCTCACCTCCACAGCTGTCCTAGCTCAACTCCAGGTGGGGAATACAGAAGTCAAACAGAATTTGAGTACAAAGCAGAGATAAACCGTGTTCCAGATGTTTGGCAGATTTTTTGTGCAAATGTTGAAAAACCTGGACACAAAGTCCAGGGGCCCTGGCTGGCAGCTCAGTGGTTAGAGCATTGGCCCACACCAGAGGGTCTCAGGTACGACGCCTGCCCCTGGTGGGGACGTGTGTGGGAGGCAACCAATCCATGTGCCTCTCACATCAGTGTCTCTCTTTCTCCCTCTCCTCCCTCCTTTCCTCTCTAAGTCAATGGAAACCTATCTTCCCTCCTTGGATGAGGATTAAAAAAAAAAAAAGGTCCAAGAGACCCCGGGACAGAGACAAGCAGTGGCCCCGAGAGCCGAGAGCGCCCGTGGGCTGTGCTCCTGGGGGAAAGCTGCCTCTGAGGTTAACAGGGCCACCGCCCGTGAACGCCACTCCTCAGGGCCACACCTGCACCCACAGCCTCGTGCTGAGGGCCACGGATCACTGTCGCTGGGAGGAGCCTCAGCTGCCACTTGGTCCCCCTCTACAGCACTCCTTCCTGGGTGACACCAGCCTCCCTCCCCACACGCGAGGCACCCTCTGGCCTTCATGCCTTAGAGCTCATCCTCCTGCTCGGAACGAACTGCCCTGCCAGCTCCTAACTCTAAGGCTTGTGGTCCAGCACCAGCTGCTCCTGTTCTGCAGTAAGAACAAGGCTCATTCCTCTCCCAGTGAAGCCCTCTGTCCCAACTCTTCACCAGTCCGCCCACCACATCTCTCATGGCTGAGTCTCCTTCTCCGGGCTGTTCTCCGCATGTGCTCTCGTCTCTACACATTCTGTGCAAAGGAAAGCCTGTGGCCGTCCACACGTGCGCTCTGCCCGAATCAAACAGGGCGGCTGCGTCGTCTCTGTGCGGGGCCAGGGCTCTCCGAGGAGGAGCTGCGGCTCACGGCTGGTGGGTGGGGACGGGTGGTGCCTGTGCTGGAGTCTTTCTGTTCTTGCTGCTGACAAGTTACTCACTCAGAAAACTTTCACTTAAATCTAAGCCAATACCGTCTTACGCCGTTTAAGAACAGCTATTTCTTAAATCCGATTGAGCAGGTATATCACCCAGTAATCTTAAACCGGAGTTCACAGAGGTCAGAGTTGTACAGAAAGGGTATTAGCTGACCAAGAATGGTTGGGATGAACTAGAAACTACAAAAACAAGAACTGCAAGCATATCCATTACTGATACGCCCTCACACATGAATGAGGACAAAAACCTTGAAGGGAAATAAAAGGCAGTGCGCGTTAACACGAGAAATACTAGTGACCAGTCAAGGCCCAGGGACCCCAGAACAGAATCTCAAACGAAGCAGTTTTTGGTTCCTGTGGTGAAGTCGGCGAAGGGTTCATTTCCTGTTCACTCCGGTCCAGCCAGTCAGAGGCCCAGAGACTCGGGACCGCAGGCCCACCGGGTCACTCACCACGTTTGCAGTTCTTCTCATGACGAGGGGGGCCGTCCAGAGGCTTGCCATGCAGGAGGAGGTCTCCTCATCATTCTGGAGAGAGAACGTGTGACACGGTGCGCAGAGATGAGCACTGGTTTCAATGCTAGCGTGACTTTGCCCAAATACCAGATAGGCCTGGCTGGGCATCACCGAATGTTCTTCCCCCCGCTCCCCGGCATTTTACAGCGAGAAGAGGCTCACATTTTAGAGCTCAGTCATCTGCACACAGCGCCCTATCCACACAGGAGGAGGTACGGAATTTCATCTAGCAGGACATTTCACATTCTCACCAAATAAACCAAAACACCAGCTCATTCAAGCCCCGGGAACCGCTGTACCTTTCCCCCCTGAACTTTTCACGAGTCCTCCCGGGGTCGTTAGTGAACGGACAGGGAAACACACACACACAGCACCTTCAGATTCTCTCCATCAAGAAGGTCCATGAAGCCATCATCTTCATCAGACAAAGTGGCAGCCACGGGTGACTGGGGCATGAAGAGTGGAATGAGGTTCCCTGGGTCGCTGCTGTCTCTTTCGTTGGAGGAAAGCTACGAGACAGAATTCATGCCTGTTAATAAACAACCAGCTCTGATCTCCTCGGATGGGTCATTAGTTCTTATGAGGAAAACACAGTATATTTGTTTTAAGTAAAATTTTAGCCCTACTAATCAAAGGAATATGAACCCCAGGTTATAAATTTGACGTCGCCTAGCTGGTGTGGCTCAGTGGATAGAGCATCAGTCTGTGGACTGAAGGGTCGCGGGTTCAATTCCTGTCAAGGCACATGCCTGGGTGGCGGGCTCGATCCCTAGTAGGGGGTGTGCAGGAGACAGCCGACCAATGACTCTCTCTCAGCACTGATGTTTCTGTCTCTCTCTCTCTCTCTCTCTCTCTCTCCTTCTCTGAAACCAATAAAAATATATTTAAAATAAAAATAATGATTCGACGTCCACATACAGTGCTAATAGAGCGAGGCCAAGTAGCCTTCACAGAGAACCCTTCCCCTGACAGCAGGACCCATGGTTAGTCTTTTGGGAAAGACAAGGCTTATGGGCGGACTGTGGTCAGTGAACACAGATCACCGTGAGGCTGTGACAATATGACAATCTGCCAAAGTGAGGAAGGGCGACAAGGTGCAAGTCTCATGAAGACCACAAAAGGGCCAGAGAATGCTTATGTGAGTAACTCCAGATATGACAGAGGGAAGTAACATAATCTACATGCATGTTCCCATTTCAGTCTCCCGACACACTGTGGGTAACCCTTTCCTTCCAACAAATCCGAAGAGCAAAGCTGATGCAGGTTAAGGATCACACAGCTCACCCGTTTTGACTCCAAAGCTCAAGCTTTCTCCCCACCACACCCTCCCCAGGAAAGAGATCACTCTTGGAGTGAAAACGGGGTCTCATCAGGAACCCCATGTATTTGATACAGGAAATCCAAACCGCTCATGACCCACCAACGCGGATACAAGCATTGCGAACACTTTATTACTTCTTTTCTACGTGCTTTCCAAAGCCAGGGGAAAAGTTCAGAGACACATTTTTCCTCCACAGGAACAAGGTGGTCCCCACATCAGCCCTACAAGTATCTTTAACCCCTTGAGTGCAGGGAGCACAATCGCGCTCCTCCTGTCTTTTGCCAAAAATGCCGGGAGCACTATCAAAGCTTCGAAATGGCATCCAGTTCTAAGTCTGCTTTTATTAGATATGTAACTTCATTTACTTGTGATTCATAATTTTTTTCCTAAACTGCTGTAAAATCAGCAAAAATGCCTTGGCAATTTTAGCAGAGTTCCTAGGATGTTGGTTGGCACTCAAAGGGTTAATATCCACATCCCTCGGGGGCACGAGTACGTGACCCTCCGTGGCCCTGGGCAGATCACTCCCAGCATCCTCTGCAGCAGCCCGCTGTTCTGGGCACACGCAGGGTCTCACCCAGCAGGACCACACCCTGTGAAGCTCACACTGGGGCAGGGCGCCCGTCTCTGCGACCTCGTTCTTGACTCCCCAGGAGCAGATGTGCCACAGAAAATGACACACCAGTCCCCGGACCGAGCACGCTTCCTCCACGGTTCCCCCACCACTGAGGGAAGCAGAGGTGCTGCAGACTAAAGGACACAAAGGACACACCTCTGACACGAGCAACCCACCCGTGAGATCGGCTCTGCCTTTCCTTCTGCTTACCCCGCAGTGGCTGCAGCCAGGGGCAGCCAGGGCGTCACAGGAAATGCTGGCTTCAAGCGCGCACAGGAGGCGTGTTCAGTTTGGGTGCCCAGCTCTCAGGGGTTACCGTGTCCCTTGGCAAACCACCTGAGCGCCCTGACCACTCTCCCAATGTGTGCCATGGCGAGTCCAGCCACTTCGCAGACTTGAGATGAAAGGTAAGAAAACGGCCCCTTCTCCCCTCGCAGGTGCCCCTGCCTGTCCCTCCCCTCACGCCCCAGGCACTTGCCCTTTCTCTCACCTAAGCTCCAGGGGCCCTTCGGTTCTGTAACTTGTTTCCTGAGCCTCCACAGCCCAACTGGCTCACTTCTACCACCTCTGTAACTTTCAAGTAAACTTCCTCTTATAATTTGAAAAAACAAACAAACAAAACATAAAAGTGCTCTGTGCTGTCCTGGCCCGTGTGGCACAGTTGAGAGATCACCAGTTCGATTCCTGGTCAGGGCACATGTCTGGGTTGTGGGCTCGCTCCCCAGTAAGGGGTGTGAAGGAGGCAGCCGATCAATGTTTCTCTCTCTCCTTCCCCTTCCTCTCTCAAATCAATAAAAACATTTTTAAAAAATGCTTTGTGCTAATGCTAGACATAGCAATACTGGCTGAACACATTCCTTAGACCTCAAGCCAGTCCGGAGAGTTGTATTTTCAGATACATGTTCCCAGCAAAACCTGGAAACCAAATGTGATCATTTTGTTTAAGTTGGGCCTCTCTCGTCCACAGCGGTCAGACCACCCGGAGAAAACTCCGGAAGTGATGACAGTTTCTGCCTGGCCAATGAGTGCCCCTGGGCCAGCGGCCTCACTTACTGCCAGCAGCCCAGAGGCAGCGGTTCCCTGAAATCCACAACACTTTGCAGGAAGCTAAGGTCTTCCCTCCAAGCAGCAGTCGGTGCTCTTATCACCCAGGACGCACTGGGAAAGAGCAAGTTTACGTGAGACACGTAATCCCACCACAGAGAACGACCAGGAAGCCTGCAGACTGTCTTCCCAGAACGAACCAGGTCAAATAGTCTTTGCTCGAGTCCAATATTTCACACAGACCATCTCTCACTCAGCTTCTGCCTGTCTCCTCTCCAGACACAGCAAAAACACCAAAAAATGTGACCAACTAGTTTCAAAAGACAAGGTCAAAGTAAAGACATCAAGAGCTACTGGGTGTCTTCCATTCCAGGTTAAAGGAGCGTGGATTCTCTTCCCGTCAGAAACTTCCCTACGAGCCAGAGCACGTACCATCCGGGCTGGGGCAGAGCTCTGCCTCTGGGTGAGATCTCCACCCTCCGCACGGCGCAGGCAGCCACGGGACGCGGGTCTTATTGGCTTCTTAAACTCAAAGGCCTCCTGCAAGACAGTACAGTCGAGACATCTGCCACGGTCTATGGCACCAGCTCTAGGGCCTCCGCTGGAACTCAGGTGAGACGGACAAGGGAGTGGGCACTGGTCACTTTTGTAAATGTCTCCAAAGTAAGGATTTGCACATTTCTGATCTAACACCAACACTGGGTCTGTGTAAGAATTTCGAAGGCTGTCAACAGCTGACTTCTAATACAGCATGTTTTTCTCACCTGGCTGAACTTCCTAGCAAGCACTTCACTGCCAAGTACACAAAACACTGAGTTATAAGCTAAGGCAACAATTTGAACATCTAAAGCCAAGTCAACATGCCTGCAGATGGGAGCCAACGCTTCTCCCGGTGCATTTGTTGGAGCTTTGTATTTCCCACCTTCTTCCTCCCACGGTAATGTCTTCCCTGCGTAAGATTACTGTCCTCCAGCCCTGGACAGAGTGGCTCAGTTGGTTGAGCATCAATGCCCGGTTGAGGCACATGCCCGGGTGGGGGCCTGATCCCCATTAGGGGGCATGCAGAGGGCAGCTGACCCATGTTTCTCTCCCTCTCTAAAATCAATAAAAACACATTTAAAAATAAGATCCTTGCATTCCACACTAAAAGCAATGGGGGAAACCAAACAGGACAAATCTCACAAAAGGCTGAGCGAGAGAAGTGAGCAGTGGTAGGACACACACTGCTCGGTTCCTTTCCCTCCGAGTCTCAAGCGCTCATCCCCCTTCCTAAGCACCCACTTCAGGGCCTGTTCCTGTGCTCGGAGCAGTGACAGCTCATACCTGAGGCCTCCTGTGCCAGCACAGGACCAAGTGCTGTCTGTGCATCAGCTCATTAACCATCAACTACAACCCAATCGTCCCCATGCGACTGGACGAAACCTTACAGGCTATGATGTGTCTGAAATCCGGCTTCACAGCCAGTCAGGACAACTCTAACCTATGCTGTTTCCCTTCTAGAACAAAGCCCCAAGCAGGCCACCCTGGGAGAAGCCACGGCTGGGAGGGAGAGGGGACCCGGACACACCAGGCCTGGTCCAGGTCTGCACCTGTACAGGTAGAAAGCCACTGCCCAGAGGCTGCAGCCTGGCAGGCACTGGAGGCAGGAACTCCTTCTCTTCCCAGTTCTCTCACCAGCTCTTCCATGGGAAGCAGGAGGTTTCACACCAAGCCTGTGAGCAGGGGTCCCCAAACTTTTTAAACAGGGGGCCAGTTCACTGTCCCTCAGACCGTTGGAGGGCCGGACTATAGTTTAAAAAAAAAAACTATGAACAAATTCCTATGCACACTGCACATATCTTATTTTGAAGTAAAAAAACAAAACGGGAACAAATACAATATTTGTATTTGCATGTGGCCCGCAGGCCGTAGTTTGAGGACCCCTGCCTGTGAGGCTATAAGGGTGAGGAACGGGCAGGGAATGGAGAGGGGAGAAGAGCTGTGGAAATACAGCGAGAGGACTGGGCTTCTGCATGGCAACCACAGCTCAGCCTCTCAGCTGCCGGTCCAGTGACTGGCCGCTCTGTTCTTCCACATGCGGTCAGGCACGTGTCCTAAGGCTGCCTACAGCCACGCCAGGGCCAGCACACACGGAGGAAAGGGAGTCCTGGGCCGACCCTCCCGGACAAGCTCTTCGTGGACCTAGCAGCTCCCGGCAGGCCCGCCTGCTTTCCGGAACCACTGAAACGCCTGTGTCATCTCACTGAATTCCCACAGCCCCCACAGGACACTGCATTTCCTGTTCACAAAGGGAAAACCTAAAGGAAGAAACGACCCGCCAAGGGCACGGAGCTCAGCAGCAGCAGGACAAACCCACGTGCCTGCCTCCCAAGCCCACCGTGACTTTGGTCACGTGTCTTCTCCCCGAAAGCAGCCCAGCCCCGTCCCTAAGCCACGGGCGCTGGGGCTCTCCTGCTCTAAGGCAGCACATGGCGCGACACTCACGTTCTCCTTATTCTCCTCCTGGTCCATCAGCTGAAAGGCATCACGGTCCATGGAATCGGAGTGGCTCCTCTTCAGAGCTGGACTGCACCCCAGAAGCTTCAGCTGTCAACGCGAGAAAGGAGGTGAGGGACAGGGATGGAAACGCAGCGGCAACTCAGCTCTCACAAGGAAAAGAGATGCGTGGGCACCCCCCTCACTGCAGCCATGTGGCCACGGCCCCACCGGCCAGAACTGAGTTCCCTACATGGCTCTTCATTTACTCCCCAAAGGCCTACAGCCCTCAGCAGGGATTTAGGATTGACAATCACCCCTTCCCAACATCATTCACACAAAAGGAGCCCCTCCCGGTGGATAAAGCTCTGGTAAACAGAGGAGGTGGGGAAGAGGCAGATTTGAAGTTGCTTTCAGGAATGTTTGAATGCTTTTGAAACTAGGGAAGAGCAGCCTTCGCTGTCTAAATTCATGTCTGCTATTACGATCACACAGGCAGTTAAGGGGGAGAAAACAGGTATTAGTTCGAAATATACTAGAGAACTAACTTACAGGCAGGGAATTTATTCTCCTCATGGGATTTTCACGGCTGCAATGAGACCGGGAGGTAAATCATGAGAGGCAGGCATATCAGTAGACAACAGTGTCCCAACTAGCTCGAGGGGTGGTCCAACACCCCCCTTTCAGGCAGGTCGGAAGAACAGATCTCTGAAGCTGTCCTGTTTTCACAAGCACCCAACACTGGCTTCAAGGTTAAAAAAGCAGGCCCAAGGTCACTTCCTAACATACACACATGCTCTTAAGGCTATGAAGCCAGAGGACAGGGCAAGGCCTGGGTAAGACTCAAATAAAATACCAAATTACAGCTAAAATAAAGGAAGTTCTGAAAACTGCTGACACAAGATATCAGGCTGTTGGCCTAGCTGGTTTGGCTCAGTAGATAGAGCTTCGGACTGGGGACTGAAGGGTCCTGGGTTCGATTCTGATCAAAGGCACGTGCCCAGGTTTCGGGCTCGATCCCCAGTGTGGGGCGTGCAGGAGGCAGCCGGTCAACGATTCTCTCTCATCATTGATGTTTCTATCTCTCTCTCTTCCTTCCTCTCTGAAATCAATAAAAGAATATTAATAAATAAGAAATAAAGTATCAGACTGTTGCCCTAGCTGGGTGGCTCGGGTGGAGCGTCGTCCCATATACCAGAAAGGTCAAGGGTTGGATTCCCAGTCAGGGCACGTACCTAGGCTGTGGGCTGGATTGGGGCACAAGACAGATGTTTCTCTTTCACATCCATGTTTCTTTCTCTCTCTTCCCCTCCTTCCCTCTCTATGGACATATCCTTGGGTGACGGTTTATTGACTATTAATTTACTTATTTTAGAGAGAGATCGACTTGTTGTTCCACTTATTTATGCATTCATTGGTTGCTTCACCATGACCCGGGATTGAACCCAGCAACCTTGGTGTATCGGGAAAATGCTCTAACCAACTGAGCCACCCCGCCAGGGCACTGGGTGAGGATTTAAAAAATAATAGTAATAATAATAATGGTAAGATACCAGACTGTTTATAGGATCCAGGAGTCTTACTAGGGACAGCTAAATCCAGAGCATGACCAATTTCACCAAAAACTTAAGAGAAGTTTTCTCTAAGCACAAACATTTAAGAACAGTGAATACATACTTTTCTTTACTGTCCAAGGGCCCAGGAGAATCCAGACAGAAGCCTGTGGGAAATAAACGTATCTTTTAGGAAAGAGGACGCGAAGCACCATTTTGTCATTAAAATAAGTAGGACCCCCTAGTACTGTTTCTTTAGGCCAGTCCACAAAGCCGGCCTGGACTTTATGCCAAAAATAAAATCGAGTCTTTATGTGATTGTCAGAAACTTCTCTTTTCATGGTGTATCTACTAACCCCCCTGGCCCATCTGCAAACACCATCAGGGAAGATGGGACGAGAGGAGGGAGTGCATTAACCCGAACCTTCTCATCCCTTCGTGGCTACTGAGTTCCAGCCCCGGAGAGGATGGTCCAGCACCAGTGCCTAGCGTGGTTTTGATTTCAAATATCTCATCTCGTCAGGTCTTATGCGTGACTCGGGGGTTTGGGAAATACAACGATGTCATATGACAAAGTCAGGCATTACTGCCTTCGACAAATTAACACCAAGGGAGGTGCCCATCTCCCCAAAGGCGGCAGGTGGAACCCCTGCCCAGCATGGCCCCGATCAGCAGCCTCCTAGCACACCTTTCCTCTCTCTAGATGTATCCTTGGGTGCGTATTTATTGATTATGTATCGACTTTAGAGAGCGGGAGATGGGTTTGTTGTCCCACTTCTCTATGCACCCGTTGGGTGCTGGGTCGGATCCCGGTCAGGGGGAAGCAAGCACTGAAGGCATGGACAGGTGGATGGCACCCAGGTGACCCCCCCGGCAGCGGGGCCAGCGCCTGACGCCTGACGGATGCCCTCCCTCGCCACGCTGCCAGGCGGTCTCCCCGGGAAAGTGCAGGTTTCAGCTGACTGCTCCCCACACACGGACGGGCACAGGATGAACGAATGGCGAGGACCCGGTACCTGAATCTGTTGACTCGGAGGAGCCCATTCTCTGAAGACTGTTCTTCGCCTCGGGCGGCTGCTCACCCACACTGAAACCGAGAGAACCCGAGTGTTTCTGGGCCGTGGCTACGGGGTCCCTTCCGGGGCAGCGGGAGCGATGAGCAGCCTCAGGCCACAGCTCGGGACCAGCGCCCCAGCCCTCGGTGGGGCAGAAAGGGGGGGGGTGCAGGGCAGGACCAGGATGGATGCTGGCTTGTTTCCGGAAGTGGGAGCCAGGAGCAGCCAGGAAACACCAACAGGAAGACAAGCCTAAGGCATGTGCCTCCTTAGGAAATGCACGGCTTTTTCAAATGTTATTTTTTGCTCCGAGAAGCCCAGAGAACCCTGCGGCCGGGAAGCGGAGTGAAAGGCCCGGCTCTGGGCACCACGCGGGGGACATCGGGAACGTGCGGGGAGCAGGGCTCCCAGGTGCCGCACAAAACCCCGAGGGAACGCCACGCTTTGTGGAGAGGAACGAAGCTCGCAGGACGAGGATCCTGCAAGATGGTGCGGCCCCGGGTGCAAGCGGGTTCCCGGGGGGCCTGTCTTTACCCCCGGGAAGGGGGGGCGCCCCCAACAGCCTC